ACACACACACACACACACACACACACACACACACACACTCACATACACGCACAACCTCTGTTTATCCATCTACACGTAATTCCCCCCGCCCATCTCAACATTTTCTTTCAACAAAACCTACCCCCCTCCACTCCAGATCCATATGAGTAAAGTTCACGGTGAGGGTGTGTCCCTTGGGCGCGCTGATGTGCCAGACACAGTTCTTGTCTGGGGGGTAGAGGTCAGGGAAGGACGGGGAGGAGATGGTCCCACTGGGTGCGTCCAAGTAACCCCCGCACGCCTCTGGCAGCACGGAGAAGAAAAACAATATCCAGTTACAATTTTATCAAGAGGCTAGCCCAGGACAGGGAAAGGTGGGATCGAAGTGTTAATCCGTGACCTTTACCCTGATCCAGGGTGGGAAAGGCAAGAATGATGATGATGATTAATTACAATTTATTGGTCTCACAATCAATTGCTTTGCTTGTTTGTTAGTTGTTGTTTTTTTTGTTTCGGTTTTTGTTTTGTCTTTTGTTTTGTTTTGTTTGTTCCTTTTGTGGAAAGCGGGGGTATGGGAGTGGAAGGGGGGGGGGGTGTTATCCCCTGTCCCCTGACAAGTCCGGAACGTTGTTAATTGTAGGAAGTTTCGTATTCCTTATTAAGGCAATTAAGGCCACCCCGTGGACTTGAATTAAGAAATTCTAGACCAGGCACTGCCATGGCCGCCGCTCTCTGTCTCTCGATTTAAAAAAACAACAACTTTGCTGTGCTGGTGCGCATCACAGGCGCGCGAGTAAAGGGCAAAGCAACAGTCTCGCTGTAAACGAGTGCGTTTGCAAGCTTTCTGAACCCCCCCCCCCCCCCACCCCCCCCCCCCCAATCCCCCCATCTCCACTAATAATTTGTTTCGGAAGAGAGTCAAATGGTGCACTCAGTGGTGAACCGGAAGTACGCCAGAGTGCACAGACTTAGTTTTTATTATACAAGTCTATGGACGGCTCTGAGTTGTACCTTCGTTGTTTCTCAAGACTATTGGATACTGGATACCCTCTGGACTGGAGGTACAGGGCGTAAAAAAAGAAGACCCATTCAAAGGGCAATAACCCAGTCTTCTGCACACCAATTTCAGGAAAATTTCGAAGAAATAAAATTCAACCAGGGTGATGTTATATTTTTTTGTCAACATGAGAAGAATTAAAGCAACAAGTTTTAAAAAACAATAAGCATCAAGTTTTTTAATTTCTACAAAAAGTGAGTGAAACGCAAAATTTTGCAACTTCTTGAAAAATCAACCACATTGTTCTATTTCAAATAGACATTACTTGCGCATTGAAGGACAAATTTATACAAAATTAATATTGCCAGATAAACTCAGGCCCTGAGCGCCACAAAAGAAAGCGGTTCTTATAACTCCATTGCACTGACACCCATTCACTTCAACGATAAAACAGTTGCTTTTCTACCAGAAAGAAGAGGTGCCTTTTCAAAACAAAAAGAGAAGTCCTTTCATCAACAACAAAAAACCCGTACCTCCTGCAAAAACAGGAGCCCTCTGACCAGCGGCCTACTTTTAAAAGATAAACAACAACAAAAACCCGGGACACAAATACTATTTTTAGACAGAGGCAATATTCATTTTTTTAGCTCTAGGAGTGAGCGCAATTTTCAGTAAACACGTCTGGATTTAACACATGCTGAAAAGATAAACAATCCGGTCCAAGGTTTCATCCTTGTCGTTCTCCAATCCAAAACCCACTTTCACATTTCTTCCCGTCCGAATGCAGCTCATATCCAATCTTGCACGTGCACTCGTAGCTGCCTAGAGTGTTCACACACACGTGCTCACAGCCGTGGTCTTCACCCTCACACTCGTCCACCTCTGGTTGGGGGAGGGGTGGGGGTGGAGTGGGAAGAGTAAATAGAATGAATTACGGTATTAGGAAAAAGAAATGTGTTTAATTTATTTGAGTAAAGAGAAGCATATTATATAAACACGATAATGGTTATTTCTGTGCAGGGGAAACACACACACACACACACACACACACACACACACACACA